CCTCTCGAGTTGTATTCATTTCTTCATCCGATGATTCCGCGTATTCACTCGTGTCCCACGACCCCACGGAGAGCCGGTCTCCCCGCAACTAACCTTGAGAGGAAAACAATAAAACAAAGCATCCAGCAGAAGTTTTTATGTAGCCAGAGCGCAAATCAGTCTTGACTCACATTCATAAAGATTTCACAATAGAGACAAGCATTAAACATGTGGTCAAGTCTTTTGTCCAGCAACAACCCTCATTGCAATGAAAGCAATACTCCGTTTAGGGAAGCCTTATGGATGTAAGGAATATGGGAAGGTCTTTCCTGACTCCTCGCCCCTCAGGGCACAAATGACATCTCATAATGGAGAGAAGTCTTATGAATTCAAAGAATGTAGTAAAGCCTTTGGTTCTCACATCTTACTCCTCATAATAGAACATATAGTAGAAGTGCTCATGTGACCAACCCTTTAGTCAGTTCTCAACATAGAAACTCATAGTGGTGTGAGGTCTTATCAGTGGGAGAATATTGGGAAGCATTTGACTTAACTTCAGAGCTCAAATGGCATATAAAATCTTACAGTGGAGAGCACTGTGTGAATCTCAGCAATGTCTTAGTTAAATACGTAAGAACTCATGGTGGAATGGGGTCTCGTGTGTGTAAGGAAAATCGTTTCTCACTCAGCCATTTGATGACAGGTTTCTAAGGTTTCAACAGAAAGGAAATTACGTGTCATTTCTTTGGTCATTTGCTTCTCCCTGATTATCAGTTTTTCTAAGAGAATTTCTCTACTTGCATAGATTTTAAAAATTGTAAATGGTAATCTCAAATATGATTTTTATACAGTTTTATAAAATCAGTGCCACACGGCATAGAATAATGCTTCCTCCTAAATAATCATAATGCTGCCCTTTCTTACTCAAACCTTCCCTCACTGTGAATTCCTGACAACAGTTGCTACTACTCATTCAGTTCATTGCTTTCAGATTCGAATCCTTTGTTGAGCATAATGTATTTAAAGTTCTTGTATATTGGTTAATGTAACTATAGCTGGTTTTCTTGTTGTAACTCTTCTTATTTTGAAAAGGCCTATAATGTAATTTTCACACACAACAATTCATAAAATCATTGCCACAAGGTAAGGACAGAATAATGCTTCCTCCTAAATAATCATAATGCTGCCCTTTCTTACTCAAACCTCCCCTCACTGTGAATTCCTGACAACAGTTTCTACTAGTCATGCAGTTGATGGCTTTTAGGTTGGAATGCTTTGTTTAGCATCATGGGTTTGAAGTTCATGCATATTGGTGAATGTATCCATAGCTTCTTTTTGTTACTGAAAAAGTATTAAATTCCATACTGTTTTGTGTATTTACCAATGGAATAGTTTTTGTATACTATTTTGGGAATAAAACTGTTGTAAACACTTCTGCAAAATTTTTATGTGAATGTAAGATTTCCATTTTCCTGTATGTATGCTTTGGAGTGAGAATCTTGTGTCATGCCAATCAGTAATTAAGAGGCTGTGGCTGGTTACAGGGTGGTAAGGTCCATTGAGATGGGTGGAAGATTTAGCACACCTTTGTATGTTACTGTGT